TCCCTTGGCAACAAGTTTGACTTAGACTAAAATTGGTGGTAGTGCTCTTCTCCGGAGCAGAACTCTAAAACCGTTCAATGTTTCTTCACCAAACTTTGCAAATACATACATCTGGTGGTGTACTGGTGCCTTTTGGTAGTTCTGGAATTCTGAATAAAATATCTTTGCATTTCCATGCCAACAAGTTTGACTTAGACTGAAACTGGTGATAGTGCTCCTTTTTTGTAGCAGAACTTTTAAAATCTTTCAATACTCTCTTCTACGTTTCTATATACACACCAAAACATTTGACAGTCATAACTCGTAGACATATTCATGGAGAGTATTTTGCAGTTGCGGGGGATATTGATGACTTTGTCTTCTTGTTCACCAAGTTTCAGTTATTGGTACAGTTTGAGAGAGGACTGGCATGTTGTCAACAAATAAATGTAAAAATGGAGCTATTCTGTAAAGTAAGAACATCTGGATATGTATCTTCGATAACATTCTTCTTGTTCTTTTATACGACTCTTTGCATATAGATATTATATTGTCGCTGTGAAAAGGCAAGCATAGCCTGGTTATCTTTAATCGGAGAGTACAGAGTTGTCAGGAAACTACATTATTCTGAAGATTAATTTGTTGATTCAATTTTCGTGGGATATCTAATAGTCTCCCAGTGGTAATCGCTGATGCAAGCAAGATCTATCGGTTGACTGATTTTTTTATCACTTTCTCGTTTTTTTCAAGAAGTATATGTATAACCAGTTCCCTCCCATTTAGTGAACACAATACAGTATACATCAGTTGTCACCTGAATAACTCAGCTTCAGGTTGTGCGTTCTGTTCTACTGACCAGGAAACCAGCATGTCAATAGCACAGGTAATAGCTGTTGCTTATGCGACCGCTGTCTAGAGTGTCTATTTATAGCTTCCCAGCTTCTGACCTCCATATCAAGGCCACAATGATCTATCAAGAGACATGGATCCATTGAGAACCTGCCTTGCTCTGTTCATGTCTATTGATTATATGGGACAGACACGTCCTGTGTTCAGCATTGCATGGCCAGGAATTCCCCACAGTGTTGTTACTGTCCCAGTGCTGTATGAAGCAATAGGTGGTGGCTGGCTGATGTCTTCATCCAGAGGAGTGATGTCTCATCAAAACAATGTGAACTCATGACAGCATTCTTCAGGTATGACATGAGAACTTTTAAAGTTTTTGTGATTGCAGCATAATGTTAAAGATGATTATGATTCATATTTTTTAATGCTATGGTATTGCGGGAGAAATATCATTGTTGTTATTTGGTGGTGTGTTTACTCATCATGCTGAAGGCTTAGAACACTACAGTACCTTGGGACACAGACATGTAACGTTGTACGTAAACTGGGCACCCTCATTTATATACAAAAAGCCTACATAACTGTTGAAAACGAGTACCACTAGTTCTTTCAGATTTGCTGCCAGAGTATTGACTGTGTGTGACTTATGACACTTGTAGAGCTAAGATCAGTTTGTGGAACAGGGTCTTGAACCAGTCCTTTAGTGCTTCAATTTAGCCACAAACTGGAACTGCATGGAACTGACAGAAGATGTAAACATACTGAACATTTGTGTCTTATTCAAGCAGTTCCAGCTACAAACTGTGACAGCTAACAAGTTCTCTGGACTCGTCTTAAGAAGTAAAAGAAAATAGAAATATCTAAGGCTGACCCTAGTCTGCAGGTCCTGAAGCTCACTCGCAATCATTTCACAAATCATTATTGGACATATTTGTTTGCTGGGTTTATTAATCTCGTTATGTTCACCACAAGAGCTTGGTGCTGTAGTGGCATTGCTACATATATAAATCATTAGCCATCCGGTTATAACACAGCAGTGTTGGGTGTTTTCTCTTCTATTAAAAATATATGTTGACAGTTTAGTAAAGGGTATTGTGTTTCTGAGGTGAACTAGTCTTTCTTCCAAGGAAGACATCAAAGAAGGCAGACTGTATGATGAGACCCCTATAATCCAGTTGGACAGTTTACATCACACAAGGGGAGATTGGAGCTGAAAGCGTGGTTGAAATCAATTTTGATGCACTTTGATCGTACCACCTCCGTGATCAATCTGCAAGCCAAGTTACCACCAGACCTTGGATAGAGACATCAAACAGCCACTTGCTTGGTGCTGGCTACAAATACGACACTGTGACAATGATGGATGTCAATATATTTACAGTGGCTGCACTTTCACTTCTTTTATCACATCCTTCATGTTTATAGTATCTGTCTGTACAAAGACTTTTTGAGTTGTATCATAATGGAGTGGAAACATCCCTGCAGATGTATGGTATATAGTTGCCAGGTTACAAATGAGCAAGACTCTAAATGTGATCTTGATTTTTCATCCAATTTTATTGCCTGATGCATGTACGTATTTGTGAGTCACATCCTAATTACAAGAAATCCATCAGCCTCTAGACACAGTTAATGTGGGTGCGGTCTGGTGCTCGCAGAGTAGGGAGCTTACATTATTTGATATTCATTTTCCAAAATGCTATTAGCATTATCTGTATACTTAATTACTGGCTATTAAATGCAGTTTGTTATTTTGATCTTTCAGTGAAGAATATTCAGATCTATAGTGTCTGTTATTTCTAGATTTCCATTTACAAAGCCGAGCTCAATATGTCCTGTGTTAAACTGTTAGGGTAAAATTCAGTGTGTTTTTTTAATTCAGTGAAGGATAACAGATGTGACTAAGGGTATTGAATGAGTTGTTGACAGTGTGTCCATGTTCCTACCCCCTGGTTCATTAGCAGTATCGTGTGGCGCACCAGATGACACACCCGCTGTAGTGGTGGAGTAGTCAGCTATGAAATTAATTTGGTGTGTTGGATGGAAGTGGCAGCGATCAAGCTGTGGCCTAACCATAGTCCGCATGGTAATGAGGGACAAGATATTCACCCTCAGCTTGGTTCTATTGATTTTTTTTCTTGCTGTTTATTGTTAATACAACTGAATGTGACAACAAGTTTCACCCTGTGCAATTTAGGCTAGTTCCAGATGTTTTTTATGGGATGTTGGAAGTTCAGCGAGATGCATGCAAAATGCCTGGCAACACCTAATGGCGTGGGCTCTATGGTTTTTTGTATTGTGTGTATGTGGCAGGAGACGCTTGTTTGACCTGTAAGCTTTGTATGATAAGCTAGTGTAGGCGAACGACCTACTCGAAGCCCCTTGCCACCACTGGGCCAGCATAGCAAGCTTCAACATGAAAAGGATTAGTCTAGGCTGGAATGGAGTTCGTGATAGTGTTAGGGAGGAACAGATTTAATTCTGTAGTTGTATATCCTCTTTAGATGGCTTCACCGAATACTCGCCAAGATCTATGCAAGGCTGACCTGAAATAAAAAAGGAAGTTTGATTGATTTTCATGGCAGAGTGAAATATTTTGGAATGTTTCACGAGATGATGAAGGATGATGTGAGGAAGTACTTCAGCTGTGTGTACTTAATGCATACTTAACTCACCATGGTGTTATTGATGTGCAAGAGGAAGTGTGTGATGAAGAATTACTAAAAGTGCATCGTGGGCATATCTGAACATGTAGACTTGAAGCTGTTGATTTCTGGATACATGTACCATGATGAATTTACTTCATTGTACTTGATGAGGAGCTTTCTCTTAAGAAACAGAAGGGTGATTTGTGTGACGACTTTTGTACATTATCTACAACATATTTCAAATAGATTTTAGGTTAAGACATATTTATGAGATAAAGTTCTTTTCAGAATTATATTTAAATTTTCAGAACTCAAGGAGTTGAAAGGTCATGTTAAATTTGCAATGTTTATATATATTTTTGTCTGATATCATTCGATCATGTTTAACAGTATGTCTCTGACAACTTCCTGAAGCTTGTGTAAAGTAGTATTTCGGCAAGTATAGCTGGGTAATTATATCAAATGCAGTTTCTTAAGAGAGACATAAAAGTTTGTCGTTCTGGCTAAACCTGGTCTGAGAAACTGTTTTTCTATAACAATAAGCAGTTCAAGTGCCACTTTTGCTGACTAATGGCTGTCAAGTTATGAACATGCTCTGTGTCCTCCAGACAACCTGCTTGTTCTGTATCCAAATGAATCTAATCGTGCACTTTTTCCACCTGCTGAGCATTGGTTTGAATCCTGATTGTGATACTTGATCTGTCAGCACCATCAGACCATGAGAATTTTCTGTGGATTTCTGGGATGTTTGTTTCATTTTTAACGTTTTTGAGATCAATGTAAATCTGCAGTAAATGACCACCAAGAACCCCGGCTAAATTTTTCAATGTTTCTTGTGCGTTGCCGTTCTCATGTCTGCACCATACATGTGTCAGTGAGTTTCACCAAAATAGTAAAATTCTGTCAGTTCAGGCTCTCCTTCCAGTGTTTGGGCTGATAACTCAGTGGGGCTCCTTTTCAATTGCCAAAATTACGTATAATTTCAGATACAAAGTCTTAGACTAGGTGCACAGAAACATCAAAACAAGCTGATAAATTTTACATCAATATTCAGACCAAGTGCATGATTGAAGATACAAATCACTGTTGACCAAATAAGGCATTCACTGATACACACTTGCATCTTCTATGGAATAACATGCCTATATTTGTTGATTTGTGTAATTTCAAAAAACATCTCATGTTCCATACAGATGGGCTCAAATCGTTTCTGATTCATCGTGGTTCGTGATGGCGTACATAATAATGTAAAAAGTGTAATTGAATTTTGCTGGTGAATGTATTAATAGCGTCTGGAGCAGATATTCTGCATAATGATGTTAGGTTTGATGTGGAGTTGCCTGGTACAGCTCATCATGCTGAAGTCCGGGGGCTCCCCATGGTTTACACACTCCCAGCTTCATGCTTGGTATATCCTGTCTTACTCAAGTAGTTCACTTTCTAAGTGTGCCTGTAGCGTGAATATGATAAGATCCTTGTGAAGCTGTTAGCTGTAAGTTGATCTGTTTCTTCTCTTCCCCTTCACAGGTGAACAATGAAGAGAAGTGGGAGGACATCCAGGGAGAGTTCAGGGTGCCCAGGAGCTGCACAAATGGAGCCCAGGCACTCAAGTTTGTCTATGTCAGGTGAGTACGCAGCCTGCATTGAGGGCATTTAATGAGGCTGCTTTTAGAAAAACTAAATTCAGCTTCTGTTCAAAGTTGGTTGAAGATTTGCATATGCTTCTGATGTGTGTTGCCTGGTATTACATCAATGTTTAGTGGATAGAAAACTGGTTATGAAGCCTTGTCAATGATAGGTTGACTTACGTATAATGGCAGTGTGTAAATTGTGAAATAACCACATGCTATGTGTAATATTGATAATAATTTCAATATTCAGGAATAGTTTGTCTCAGTTTCACAGGATACTTTCTTGATGTGCTATGACTTAAAAACACTAGATAGTTTCAGAATTTCCTTTAACTTATTTAATGTACAAGTATTACATTTGATTCAAATGTTAACAGCTATATATTTTCTGAGAAAACTTGTAAAAAAAAATAAGTAAAGATATATACTGTGAGAGTATTGAAAAGTCATTGTAATATTCAGTCAGATCTATGCTACACAGAACAGGTTAAGGTGACCCAATTCTTTTGTGTTACTATATGTAATCTGTCAAAGGAAAGAATCAAGTGTTCTTTGAATTTGAATATTATTTTACAGCAATCAAATTTTTGTGTGACAGTCATGTGGCAGTCAAACAGCTAGATGATCCACAGAAACAAATTAATCCCTCGGTAAACGCTAGATAATCCCCCTTGGTCAAGACAACGTAGTCTACAGATCATTACAGAATCGAAGTATAAGTAAAATAGGTAGTTTTAGGAACACTCACTAGTCCCTCCACATGTTCACAAATCCAGCACAAATGGTTTTGTGGCCATGTCTCTCCATGCACTCCCATGGAATCACCACAGAATATGTGCAGAGATCTTGGTTGGATATCCTGTTATGTAAATTTTGTGAGAACGATATATGGTGTCCCCTGCAGAGACGATGTTTCAATATTGGTAAAACTATGTTAAACACTCCTCACTTGTTTGGAAAGATATGTTGTGGGGCTGGATTTGACTTGAGTGATCCTGTCCCCTGCATGCCTGCCTCCCTCCCTCACATTGACCCAGTGACAGTGTTGCTATAACTGGTGCTCAGCTAATCAGGTCAGGGTCTACCAGCCTGCTATATATAGAAGTTCTCACTCCCACTGCTATGTTGTGGCTGAGAATCATTGACCCACAATCAATGATCAGGCTGTACTCACAACAACACAGCAAGCTGAAGCCACAAGTATGTCGTGGGGCTGTGCAGTGGAAGGCAAGGGTACTGTAGCTCACTTGCTTCACTGTACAAATGCATATGTAAGACTACGGAAATGGCAGCAATGTAAAACAAAGTAAGTTTTTCTTGTACCGGTTTCTATTGGTATCACAGGATGCTGGTCTTTTGATGTTGTATAGGTCGAGTTTAAACCTATTTTGAGGAAGTCAGTTTGTTTATCAGCTTGATGATTTGGATTTTAAATATATCCTGAACAAAACATGTTAGAAGATAAGTTTTAGAAATTGTGTGTACTCGGTATCCTATCCACTGTAACAGTATCCTCACACGTATTTGTGATCCCAAAACTTGTTTGTTCTGTATACTTGACAGTAGAGTATCCTGTCAACTTCATGAAAATGTAGGCACTACAATGACCTTTTGTGTAATGGCAGTTGTTGTCATATCCTGATGATATTGGATGTTACTCAAAATACAGTCACTGGTTTGTCTGGCTGGTCAGTCAGCATATTCTGTGGTCATTAGAATGGAATATTATTGAATGTGACATTATACTAAAAATAAGCAAGTCAACCACTTTCTTGGATGAGGCTGGATATTTATGGCCTGGCTGGAATATTTGTGAATGTATCTAAAGAATGGCCATTTACTTTTCCTTAGTCATCTGCTGATAAGTGTTAGTACTTTAGGTTTGCTCTATCCATGCTTGCATCAAATGTCAAATGTTTACTTCCTTAGTGGTGTGTCTCCCATGATGCTGACACTCTGATATAAATGAAATGTGTTTAATATATCGTTAAATCCCCCCATACGTCATTTCAAGTGGTATTTTCCTGATGCTTGTCACAGCTTTTGGATTTAATTTTCTCACTATTTTATGCCTGAATCTTGTCATGCACAAATTTTCTGTAACTGGAAGGAAGTTTTTTAGTGATAACATGTGAAACCCCTATTCAGCATTTTGTGTAAACACTAAGGCTGTGTTGGGTCTTGACAGAGGTATTATCAGTTCTGTGTACTTGCCAATAAGTTTCTTACATTAAGGCTGTCTGGACACTTAACAACAGAGTGAGTAATGCTGTGTAGTATGGTTGTTAAATGTAATGTCAGAAGAAATGTCCTCACTAAATGTCAATGTGTGCCATATTTTCACAGACATGCGCTGCAAGAGGTATATTTTGTACATTCCACTGTGAATAGTCACACACTCCTCCTGACAGTTTCCGTCAAGTGAACATCATTCTGAATAACTCTGCATTTTATAAACATTGATTTTGTTTAGATGCCAGACAAGATGGGGCATGAGTGTGCTGCCATTATATTTCCATGCTTTACAATGTTTAACTAAAGTACAAACACTTTTCATGCTGTTGTCAGTGGTTGGCAGCATAAATTTCACATGTACCTTTCATTGGGGATAGGTTGAGTGCAGTTGTTGACCTAGTCACACCCCAGTGAGTTGGATGTTGTGTCTTACTCGTTCAAACCTGGTATCAACCATGACTATGACATCTGTGTCATCTGTTCAGTGATTAGTACAATATTTGTTGTGTCCCCTTCCCTAAATAAAGTAGCGATATTACTGCTAGCAATAGCAATGTAGCACCTTACTCCATGCTTCAGATTGCATGCATCCACAGTCTAAATGATCACAGGACCCCTGATTTCAAAGTTAACAGTGGATCATTCAAGTCAGTCTACTTACCACTTTGCGACAGGATCTTAAAATGAGTTTAACATGTTCATTGCAGTTAGTTTGTAACTTTACTTTGTGTCTGTAGGTACCTACACATTTACGAGAAAATCCACTTCCTTGGCCAAGATCCCGACCGGAATGATGAAGACGATGGTCACCCAGCACGGAAAAAGCTGTGTACACCAACATTTGGGGTTCCCCTCACCTACAACTATCATCATCATCAGCTTACAGGTAAATATAAAGTGGAGAAACACCAACTCCTATATGCATGTATTGTTACACAACAACCATCCTTGCTATGGTGATTTGTTCCAACAGCAGGAGTTTGGTTAATATTTATGTCTGAACCCCGTCTGGATGGGCAAACATGTGAATAATGTCGTGTTATGTGCACTTAAGTTGCAGTTTGAGCAAATGTTACAAACTTTTTTGCTCTTGATTTGAGATGATCTGTTCTTGGGTTCTTGTGGAAGTGCGTTTCTAAATGTCAACTTTAGGTCAAACTATTTTGGGTTTTATATCAAAAACAGAGATGCTCATCAATAATGTGCTGTGTCCACTTGTATGTTCTGGGGCTATCTAGATAAGATCAATATGCTGCATGTGATAACGAAGCACATACAAATTGGTATTATCAAAAATGTGTATTTACTGAAAACATTTACCGACTATTTATAGCCAGAAATTGTTTGGCATGGAGTCAGGCCAGTGGGAAAATTCCAGAAATTCTCTGAATGAAGAATAAAGACTAGAGACTGTTTTGATTGTAGTTAAAATTCAGCATATTTTATTCAGTGTCACATGAACTGGGCGCATGGTATCACATAGAACTTCTTTACTTCATTAGAGTATGTCAATAATGATACAAGTTCTCCAAGTTATTACAAGAAGGGAAGCTAGGATCACAACAAGAGCCTGTAAAGGGAAGCTGGGATCACAAAATATGTCAACGAAGGGAAGTTATGTCTGACAATATAAGACAATGAAGGAAGCTATGATCACAAAATACACCAGTTAGGAAAGCTAGGATCACAAAGTGAAAAACCAATTATGGGAAACTAGGATCACAAAATATGCCAATTAAGGGAAACTAGGATCACAACATGTGATATTTTTTCATACAATACAAATAATGTGATTGAGCATTGTCATTGTCCCTTAGACCTTGAGAAGAAATCAAGAGTCTTCATATGGATGGTAAAAAAATGAAAGAAACACTGTGATAGACAGCACCCTTGATTTCTGTGATTACCAAATTGTATCAGCTGTTTTACAATTACCAAATGTGATTGTCTTTTAAGATGAACCGGAAATAGCAATAAGCAATGACAGTTTTCCCCCAATGATTCAGTTAAAAACTACGAATTTGATAAATTTCAATGCTACGGTTTGGAGAAATTACTACGATATGTATTTCAATTAATTAGAATCATGACATATATATTTACTCTGTTTTTTTACCAGTTGTGTTTTAGGAATGGAACTATTACATTAGATCCTGTTTGATATAAACTACTATCAGTTTGGTTGTAAAATCAAACCCTATTGCCTGCTTGTAGAATGCGCACCCCGCATGTGTTTTCTGGGAATATAGAGCATTATGCTGTAGAAAACATGTTAAATCTAACTCAGTTGTTTGAGGTTCCGAACAGTAGGTAAATGTGACTTGGTATTAAGTAAATTGTTTAACATAATAAGATAGACTCAGTTTGCCTGAGGGAGCAGATTTAACCTCCCTCACTGGTGACATTTTGTGGGATGGGTTTTGCTCTTTAATATGCTCTCTGTTTAATACTACAACCTTATCTTTCAGATGCGGTGCGGCAAACATATAGCCTGTCTCAAGATCTCTTGAAACCAAGTGAATATGATAAACTGGAAAAATCATTATTATCGGGATTACCAAATGAAGTTGACTTTGTTGTGAATGTGTGTACATTATTATCCAATGAAAGCAGACATGTGTTAACGCTCAAGAAATCTCACCAACTTGTCGATTTACTCTTGGCGCATATAGGAATATTTTCAGAGGGTGAGTACTTTATCATGTTTGATTGAATTTTTTTCATGCAAAGATGTCATGTATTGTTAGCAACCAAATATTATTCCATCCTGTCTTCTGCTTATTTCTGGTGGATTGTTGAGGTAGCCACTACATTTCGGTATGTCACAAGTAGTCATATTGAGGCAGTGGGGTAGATTAGTGTAGTGATTAAAGCACTTGATTGTTGAACCAAAAGGGCACAATTCTCTACACAGGGTACAATTTGTGTGAAGCCCATTTCTGGTGTCGCTTGCAGATTGTTTGCAGGAATATTGCTAACAGTGATGTAAAACTAATTTGCAATCACGCACTTGTCTTTAAAGGTCCTGAATCCTTTTGTAATACCACTCTGCTTCATTTATTTAGTTTTAATGAAAACCAGGACATTGATTCTCATTTGAGATGGTTAACTTGTCTGAGCCTCTGTTTAACCCAGTAGAAGATGTTTTGTATTCTCCTATTAGTGTGGATGCCAGTCTCAGTACCAGTGTTTGAATGATTGCTTTTAATGGAGTTGACTGATGAAATCTGTCCTGAGTTTTCAGATTTGTATTAGTTTAAACATGAGATAGAGATGTCTATTCGTTACTTGGGACAACCCCAGGCTGATGTTTCCAGGCGTATTTGTTATTACTTCATGTTGTGTATCATGAACTGCAGCACAAGATGTTAGATTTTTCTCTCCGTTTGCTTTCACACATGTAATAATGTTAAGTAGGTTTGTGTGGTTCAGTTTTTGTTTTCCCCATGCTAGGAAATTTGATAGCGTTGCTGTTATTTAAATAGCTCAGCGTAATAGTCAACATCCAACACCTGTTGAACACCTGTTCAGTGTTATCTGCATCCAGTAGGCATCAGTCTCACTAGGATTACTGTGAATGTGTCAAAATAGGTCTGCTGTCGATTGAGCCCTGATGTTAGAGTCGTGTATCTTGCAGTTGTCATATTTAACATGCATGTACACCCAAGCCGTCTAACTGCTCTGTAATATTGGCCAGCCATCTGAGGATCGGTCATATTTAACATGCATGTACACCCAAGCCATTCAACTGCTCTGTAATATTGGCCAGCCATCTGAGGATCGGTCATATTTAACATGCATGTACACCCAAGCCGTCCAACTGCTCTGTAATATTGGCCAGTCATCCCAGGGTCGGTCAAATTTAACATGCATGTACACCCAAGCCGTCCAACTGCTCTGTAATATTGGCCAGCCATCTGAGGATCGGTCATATTTAACATGCATGTACACCCAAGCCGTCCAACTGCTCTGTAATATTGGCCAGTCATCCCAGTGTCAGTTATCTATCTTACAACTTGTGAAAATGGTATGCCTGAGACAAGGAATGAAAAAGCAGATCTCAGAATATATCTTTACCATGACCCAGGATTCACCCTAGGAAATACAGTCTTCACTCAACAAGATCTATATCAAATCTGTGTTGACATTCCTCCGATTCATCAGACTGCAACACCAGATTCACCAAACAAGAAAATGTTTATGAGAAAGCTGCTAAAACATAATGGAGCTGGAATAGGAATCGTGACGCACTATAAACTTGAGCCAATAGTCTGAGGGCTGAGTCTTCTCATGAATGTTTGGACTTGTATGCACAGAGAATAGTAGCCCATGTACTGACACTTAAATCTGCTGCAAGTTATCACAAGAGACAGTTTTGGACTGGAGATGTTTTTGAACAGTCTGGTTTGTAGTTGGTGTTTCGTGTTGAATACAAATAAATCTAACATTAATCACACTCTTTGAAATTCATCAGATGTGGCTCATGATTGAGTAATAGCTCCTCACCCTTGAGTCTTCATGCTGCACAAGTGATAGACATGCAACACATGAACAAGAAGTTAGTCATGCCTTGAGACATTTGTCATTTCCAAAAGCTCATTTTATGTTTTCAAGCTTTATGCCTTCCGTAATGCAAAGTTATGTGTATATCTAGATGGATTTTGTCAGCAGGAAAATATTTCACTTTTATGGATGGAATTACTTTTCTCCAGTCAGGTTTTACTTCACATACATGATCTGTCATCATGATTGATGGAGTTCTGGTCCTAATTTATCCTCAATTTATCCTGTATTCTGAGAAGAAACAAATAATGTTTGTTACAAGTGAACGCTACCACATTTCAGGCATTTCAGCATGTAATGAGAAAGCACTGCCAAATTCTTTGAGCAAAATGCTGTAGAATGTGGAGTTCTTTCTGTAAACATGTGACACTCGGGGCAGCCTGAACATGTTGTTACAGTGCGTGGCATATCTCAACATTAGTCACATAACTTGTCTACAAGTACTGCACACAACTGGAGGCCGAGTGCACCGTGGTCACTCTTATTCTAGCAGCTAAATGTCTATAAATAGGACTCAACGAAAGTTGTGTATTCAAGGGGGTGGACAAGGTAATCCATAGTTTTCTGTAACCTTGCTGTTCATTCTTAGTTATAGATTTATCAAAGTGTCCCAATTCATTAGATATTACCAGTTATGACATACGTGTACCCTAGAGCACCATTCCAAGCCCTGTCAAACACTCTCAGATATGCTGATTAATGTTCTAATGTACATCAACGCTATTAACTTGAATTTTTAAAGTGCATTGTTCTCAGTCCCTAATATGGCTAGTACATATTTTAAAGCAGCATCAGTCCCTTACCATCCAAATGTTTGGTATAAATGGTTACTGAAACACTGAAAATAATACCTCAGGTTCAATGTGTAACATGGCCCTTTATGTGACATGCTCAACAAAGTCGATTGTTGTTCCTGCTATCAACCACAGGCGGGCCCTGACTCTTTTGTTTACAGGCTGCAAAGATGTGGCTGGAATATCAATAGCTGCTGCAGCATACAATGATATTCTCTGGCTTAGTCATCCCCGTAACAGATTGGAATGTAGAGATGTTTGATATTGTCAGCTGGTATCCGGGACTTGTTGCGATGGATGTTATTGTATAAGTATGTTTTTATAAACTGGAATCTAAAAGAAAATGTTCTACAACATTACCCTACCAACACTATTTTCAGGAGCAGTCAACCCTAACTTTTTCATCCGGTGTGCTGACTGTTTGTGACAAGACAAAGATCACATATGATAATAGACTCCAAACACTGCCAACTTTGCAGTAGTATTCCAACACAGCTGCAGAGTTTTTGAATTCTTATTTAATAAAATACTACAAACCTTCAAGCTGATCTTAACTGGAACCACATTATTTTTAATAGGCCTCTTTACTGTTACAGCTCTGTGTTAACATTGGAATGTAATGTGCAGTCTTCTGTAAACATGGTCAAACTATAATTTTGTAGATCGCTTTCCCCCTTTAGGTACAGATTATAGAACCGTGTCACAAGCAAACTCAGAAGTCTGCTTTTGGCTTCATTTACTGTAAGTGCTTTCTTTAAGTGTTTTCCAAATGCAACTCTTAAAGCATATGACATTCCTTTCTCCATTTTAAAGACATCTAACCCAAAACAAGAAGTAGATTGTATGGTTCAGACTATCTCAGGAGCATTTGAATCACAATCACATTGTGATGATGCCAGATGTTCACGAAAATTTGAGGAAATCCTGCGTCACTGATGGCAGATACCAGTAATAACATGCTACCAGGCCATTGTTGAATATATTTATGGTAGGCTGAATGTCCATTAAAGTTGTTGTGATCATGGTGGTGCATATGTCTGAATTTTAAGTACCAATAGGTAGAAGTTAAAGTCAGAAGAAAATAGTCTTTGGCATGCATATAATATTATGAAGGATAGTGCACATTATATCGTTAAAAAGAAAACTGAGGGAGTATTTAGAAAGAAAAGTGCATGAAACTTAAGTGTCAGTGATATATTCACTGGCAGAATTGCAGATGCAGGGCAAAACACACGCAGGGCTAAACACGCTCACTCACTCACAATGTGGCATGTTGGGGTGGTGGATTTCAAACATCTGGGCTTGGGCTGTTTCTGTTTTTTCATGTGATGCATGTAGTATACAAGTCAACTGTTTCAAATCTTTTACAGCAGACTTTTTCCATATGTACTGATATGTACCATCACTAGCAAAACGTTTTGCAAAACCCTGGAAGTGTTTTACTGTCTACAGGCCTTGGGCTTGGGACAAATGATTTAGTGAGAGAAATGAAGTGGAGTACCGGTAGTACTTGACAACCTCTGTATGGTATTAGATGATGATAGACCCACTGTGTTTAAAGTGTTGAGCATGCAGGATGTGGCTTGATTAATAGACACACAAACAATGCATTCTATATGTTTGTTTGTTTATATTGATATACATTATTTCTGTATGTTTTTATGACTACCAGTATGTCACTACTATCAGTTACAGTGACTGACCTGTCTCATACTTACCAACCAATTCCCATTGATTTTCCCACCTTTGGAGAATGGAATGAAAGTATGCTGAGATGCTTGGTTCCAGGAAGGTAGTGGAGATGTTGATACACAATTAATCAGCTGGGAACATGTCTCCCTGCTTAATTTAGCCCAAGCCTCTACCTCGGTGAAGTTATGTCAGATGTAACCAAGTTAGGTAACTTGGAGTCAAATTTTATGCTTTCTGCAAGGTTCTTTGTTGTTGTTTAATGCCTCGCTCGGCAGTTTTCCAGAAATATGTTAGTTCATCTATAAATAAGGACCAGACAATCCAGTAATTGACACCATGATGTTCGGTCTACATAGCTGGGATATGGAGACATTCATCCCTCAAGTCTGATTACCAGATCCTGTTAGTTTCCTCTTATGACAAATATATTCATCTCCTACAACATGGGTTTTATCTTGCAACAAAATAATGTATAAAATATGTTTAGCTGTTTACATTCTACTTTGTAATTTCCTGTGTGTACATTTGTATTTATGTGTTATATTGATTCATAATAAATTTCTTCCCCTTTTTGCATGTTTAGATTGAATTCAAAATTGTATCTCAAATTTAATTAAGATTCAACAAATAAGGCTTTG